TAATTAGTTAATTAGCAGTATTTGTTGAGTGCTTACTCTGTAAACGTCCTGTTCCAAGGATAGATAATAAATGGTGGGAGAGGGAGAAAAAAAATAAATGAAACCTAGTTTTTACTTTTGCAAGCTGAGCTTTTAATAATGTCAAAAACGATAAAACCCATAACCAGATAGTGGCTAAAACGATTTTTTTTTTTAAAAAAGGGATTTTATTCAGAAACTATGGTAATAGGGAAAGAGACCTCAGTGTGGAACTGGATTTCATTCTCAATTCAGCAAAGATAACTGGGGATCTATAGCTTAGGACTACGTGGGGGTCAGTTTATGGAAACTGCTAAAAGGAAACAGCAAGGGTAGGCTGATTCTTGTTAAAGAAACCTAAACGGATTCTTGCTGAAGGCAGAATTGTGCTCTCAGGTACTGAGAATGGGGAGTCTTTGATAAACGGATGTGGCAGGATTCTAGCCTCAGCTGAGGCACATTGGAGGACAAGGACCAAAGTGAGATGAAATCAGGGACAGCTCAGAGGAGCCCTTCCGGTGTTTAAGGAGAGAATCTTTACTGAAGAATTAATACATAGTGGATTGCTTTCTGGTTGTTTATATTACTTTTCACATGCAGAGAGGTTTCCATTGTTTTCATCCACTAGGGTTTTTATGATGTATTAACCTTTTTATTGGGTTTGCATTAGCACCCGCTTTTTCTCTTTCAACCAGAATGATCATGGTATTAACTTGTCAGACTTAAGCCCGAGGTGTTTCTAAAATGAGCTTTCCATGTCGCATATGTTTGCATTTAAATTACACATGTAAAGTTTTCACCATAAAAAGTGCATGCGGAATTGGTCTCTCATCATGGTTACAGCTCAAATAATATCGTTCATCAGTTAAAATATTTTTGATATTTATAGTGGGATAGTTTCAGTATAGCAAGTGACTCATGTGGAGCCTCTTTTTCTATATTTCCTTAAAAATATGGTTAAGAGTTTTTTATCATGAAATTGCTGGATGACAGAGCTTTGTCATCTCAAAGGAAATAGACAATGTCAAATTGCCTAAATTGTGACACTGAAAATAGTAAACCTTCCCATTTCCCCAGGACTGCACTGGTTTTTGGTATTATCAGCTATCTCTGCATTTTAATATTTACTTTACATTCTTCAATCATTTTAAAAGAAATTATCTATTTTTAAAGCATTTACTTCTAGGTTTCCGAAAGTGTATGATGCTACTCTAAATATTTTTGTTACATTGTCTATTTAGTTTTCCCTGACCTATAGAAGTACTTCTGCTTTTTATAGCTTGATTTTTGTATCCTGCAATCTAGTGAAACTTTTTTCTGGGTTCAATATTCTTACCAAAGTAAATTTGGTAAATCCTGCAAAACGCATGTTCAATGTTATTATTTTGTCTGGTACTTAAGTATCTCATTTTACTGTTTTATCTTTGTATGCTACTTAATAGGCAATTTCCTTAAGACCATAATTCTGATTCTCCTTATAGTTGTATCTAATCTGTTATTTTATATTACATATATATTGTGCTCATTTCTTTGCTAAATTAGTTTATTATTTTGTTTTACTATATCATTCTATTTTGTAGTGTTTTTCTAATCCTTCACCTGCTTAGTCTTGCATGTTTTTATGATGGTACATTTTAACCTATTTCTACTTTTTATGATTTATGTTACAAAATATAATGACATTTCTAGACTATTATTTTCAGACTGTTATTTAGATCTTAGTGTACAAATATTCTGATAATTGTGACTATCAGTTTCCTCTTGTAGTTATTTTCCTCTTCCTTGCTGTGCTGTTTTGTGGTGAGCGCATTTTTAGTTGAAGCCATGTTCCCTCCAACCCCCAAGGGAAAACCATTTGCTTGATTCATTGCAGAATTCTAGCAAATAAAGACAGAATAACAGCGCCCGTATTCCCATGAGGCACTCCCCCTCGGGGAGTGAATTTCTCACAAGGCACTAAATTTTCCTGACCTTGACCCCTAAAGAAAGGAGTTTCCTAGCTGCCTCTCCAGATTTGCAGGAAACATTTTCTAGTTCCCTTTTCACAGTCAGAAAGGATTTCAAGAGTCTCTGCTTAAGTCATTCAGTTATCATTTCTCTCCACTGAGTCCTAGGGAACACTTTAAATCCCCAAACTTGAGCCTCAGTCTTAAAACTAAGTCTGGCCTCACACCCCTGTCCCAGAGCCCTCACTGCACAGTTTGCTTGAGCTTATGTTTTATTGCAGTTCCCTTCTTGGGCTGGACACCTTGAAATGGTCCTTTCTTTCTTGAAATTAAATATTTTTAAATTATCTGCTATGTTTATGCAGAGTATCTGTGTGACTAAAATAGCAAAAACAAAAGTGTGTTGTCTCCATATACTCGGTATGGCATTTAGAATATCAGTTATTTAACACTCACAGTGGAAAAAATTTAATAACAAAGCCTTTGATAAGTGAGATATTTCTTTCTATGAACACTGAAAAACTCTTACTGTGTTGCGTTAAAGGAATAAATGTTCAAATGCATATTGATTAATGTGCTCATTGGAAATGAATATTTACACAGATATATTATTTATATATTATTTTACATATAATTCATAGTTATTTATTCTTATTCAATATTACTAATTTTGATACCAATACTAGATGCACATGAATACATAGTTCTGCTCAACCAAAATGCTATAATTTCTTTGAATTTCAGTCAATAAAACTTTGTTTAAGTAGCATTTTCATTCATGTTGTTTTGAACGATGTCAACATACTTAGCTCAAATTATGCTTTCATGGAGAGGAAGAAATACTGTGTTCTTCTTCGCACTGATAAGTGTTCTTTTACTATTTAGCCTGTACACATAGCATATTGATGTACTCAGATATTTATTTTTCTTGTAAGTAAGAGGTAACAGGCACTTAGCTGTAGATTGCATGGGCATTGTGATAGTATTAATTACAATATATTGTTCTACAACTGTGCTAATTCATCTGTTATATGCATATAATTTGTTATTCCTATGATCATATAGATGTTTAAAGCTTACTTTCTACAAGTTTGTATCCCAGAGAAAACTTGTCTTAAGAGCTGACAGTTTTCTATTTGAAATGTCACAGGTTTGAAAGATGCTCTTAATGATGCCATTCACTTAATTTTTCAATCTGTTTTATGATTTCTTAATTGCTGTTTATTGTGGCATTTTAATTGTCTGTGTAAAGCTTCAAGTGTCTTTGTGGGAGGCATTTTTCTTATTAGGATTATAATCACTCTCTGTACAGTACTGAGTCGGGTAGAGAGCTGGTGGGAGCAGCTCAAACAGCTTTCCCTCCCGACTCTGCTAATCACGACAGCTCTCTTGCTCTGCACACAGCATCCCGGATGTTATTTGCCAAAGACAATGAACAAAATGCGGCCTGCCTTTTCTTGTTACTTTCGATCAACATGCTAGACATCACTTTCCTCTGCGTGGTGGAAATACAAAAATGCTTCATTTTTCCCCTGTCTGATTCCCTATATTCTGTAGACTGAGGTAGTTTCTTTTCCATTGTAAGCAAGGCGAGCTAGTCCATTATTTGAGCAAGTGAAGGCTAGAAATACCTGTGGAATTTTGGGAAGGAAATAACGCGTGCAGTAGATGTTTTGATACCTATTAGAGAAGAGATTTGAAGGCCTTCAGGAGGACCCAAAAAGTCATTTAGGGTAGAGAGGGGAAGTGTCCTTAAGGAACCAATCACTCAACAAATCACTGTCTAGCCTTGTTCGAGAAGAGCAATTTTTCATTTCAGATAATATTGGAATGAAAAGTACTAAATCTAAAAAATGTACTATATTCCAGTACATGACAAATCACCATGTGCTCCCTGGACTTCCTGCTTACTTGTGTGGACAGTAAATAGTCCAATATCCAGTAGATCAATATAGGTACATAAATTGGCCCTGTACCATAAATTGGTGCAAAAAAACATGCCTGCTTTTTACCTATTATAATATTTAGCTTGGTATTTCAGACATCTTTTTGCAATATATATATACTTACATTGAAATGACATATGACTTAATGTTTAAATGCTTATACATATGCATGTACATGTATCAACTATAACTATGAAATATTTTCAACTGCTTACATAAGCCTGATAAATTAATAAAAGTCAGAATTCTTTTAGTAAGGCTCCTCTATGATTGTAAACAGAAGGGAAAAAAAGTTCTTTTCATTGGTATTTCCATAGAGATACCACAGGCTAATTTTTTCAAGAACTGCTCACTCTCTTGGGTAACATAACTATGTACTAAACAGAACATTATCGAAGTGATCACTATAAACTTAGTCAGGGTGATCATTTTACACTTGCTCATGCCTCTCTGTCTCCTGTATGTGCATAAGCTGCAGATGTAATGTATCCCTTGCTGTTAACGTGATGAGCCATTAGCCAAGCATGTGCAACAAATAAAATCACAATTCTAAAAGTACCCTTGGGAGGAAATGTTGAGTCTTGAATCAATTCCACTAGGCCTTCTTCGGCTTTAGTAATTAAACAGAAGAGTTGAAAACGGTGAGAATTTTAAGAACTATCTGAATTCTAACTTTAGAGGGTTATTTAAAAATCGAGAAGGAAACCTTTGAAAAAATTCTTTTAAGAATTAGATGCAAAGAAGTAGTAGATCTAAGTATAATGCTAAAGAGTTGCTGCTTCTAATGATGTATATGTATTATTACATATAAGTTTTAACTGAACAGATTAGATGGGCAGTGGGAAGAAAAGTCTTTCTGTTATAAAATGATAGTCTCATGGTGATTTATCTACTACATATCTGTAGTTTTTAGATAAATGGTAGGTCACTTATAAGTGACTTGATAAAGTGATCCTGATAAGCATTTAGGGACTGTTTTAGGACACTTATAGGAGTTGCACATACAGAGCAATTCCAGCCAGCATAACTGAGAAGCCAAGGGAAATAACCTTCTGTCTTGACCATGGGATACTACTGGTAAATAATGTACCTTGCAGCTACATGGCCCAAAGCAAGGGTCCTCATTTGTGCTCCCCGAGCCGCTACAGTTGCAGGCCTGGCAGGCTGGGTAGCCAGTGTAACCCCTGGCACACCGATCACAGCTCACCCCTCCAAAGCCAGTTTTGCAATGACAGGATCCAGGGGCCAAACCTACAGGAAGAGACACACACAGCAACAGTTTAAAAATAAACACAGAGTTTTACTTCTTAAAATTTCAATTTCTAGTATCCTTTAATAACATGTTTTGGCTCCCAGATCAAATTCTTGATATATATCAATACATTTAAAACCAAAGAGCATGGAGTGTAAAGAGAAGGTTGCTATATATATGCTGACATAGAATCTTCTAAGCACCCTTAGAATATTAAGAATGAAGAGAAAGATGAAATCTCAGATCATATAAAAACTACAGTCACCATATTCTAAGGCTCTAAAAGAGCTAGAAAATAATGAGAGAATAATTGTCTTAAACTCTACGCAGAGAATTATAACCAGGAACTTGTGCATACCTGAAAACTCATAAAATAAGTTTCCCCCAATACAATATCACAAGATGGGAAAGAGCCTTGAGGATACAGATACAGTACTTACCCAGCAGTTTAATGGTCATAATCTCAGGGTAATGTCACATTAGTATTATTAGAGAAAAGAATACATGTGTTCATGAGGATGGATATTTTGGATATGAGAAATAGAAGAGGGATATAAAAGCAGTTAAATTTCCTTTGTTCAACAATTATACAAAGAGAAATGCAAAAGAGAATCATTATCCCCATGACCATGTTCTCTTCACTAATAATACTGTCTAGGATGTTTCCTGATATTACTGTCTCTTTCTAGAAAAAAAGATGCAGAATGAATGAATCCAACAAATAGATTTGTAAAATTTGGAAAAGGGTAAGAGTAAGTTGATAAAAGATAGTCCATCAGATCAAAAGGAAGGGAGAGAAAAGGAAGGATACATGATCGTGGAAAGCGTTACACTGAACAACAGGAGTACTGTCAAAGATGCTATCTATCATAAACAGTGTTGCTATTCCTGCTACAAGTGTGTACTGTCATGTGGAGTAGAGATATGTAAGATCACTGGAAATATTAAAACACAGGTACATAAATGCATTTTAAGAAAACATATATGATAGAAAGAAACAGAGTAACACTAACCAGGGCCATGTGTGGATGCCATTAATAAAGATGGATTAAATGATTTTTATTATTATAGTCATGGTTCAAATAAATAGTATTTATGAACTCAAAATATACACACCAAAAGATACAGGAAACATGAAAAATTGTTTAAAGCTCAATGGTTAACAATGAAATTACAGTATCTGTACAAAATTGGGGAAAACAGAAAATTTGAATAATTTAATGATGTTGAATTACACATTACATAGTATATAAATATGTAACATACCTTAATACTTACTAATCTACAACATGTCTGTTTGTCAAATCAGAAGATATGTAACATTTATTTTCTTAAAATAAATTACTACTGTACTTCTAAATTTATATCAAATTTTTCAGTAAATTAAGATCTATTGTGAATTTCAAATATGATTAAATGTTGTAAAATGTCAACCATCAAAAAGTTAATAAATATCTCTAAAGCCCTTGGGTTTAAGAGAAAAAACAAATCTTCAATTGCAAATTAAACACAAGGAAAATAGTTTTCTAAGTGTATGATATTAATGCTGAAGAAATTTAGCTATGTTGACCAGATATGGAGAAATAGTAGTTCAAAATTTCTCTTATAGACTTAGGTCACTCTAGTATTTTAAAAAATGATTAAGTACAATTTGAATCATGTAATTATAAAAGGAGATAAAACACAAAATAAACACAAGACAGAAAGGAGATCTAAAGAGTAATAAAAGTGAGATAAACGGAAATTTTGAAGCTAATCAGGATGTGAAAACATGGGACATTATTAGAGAGTTACCACAAAATTTTTAATATCAGGTGATATTTGCAAATTGTTTTCAATGTTTCAAGCTCTTACAGGTGTATAGAAATGGATAGGCAGGTAACTGAGTCTATGAAGCTAGTAATCTCTTGGATCAAAATACAGCAAAGATAAGCCAAAATAAAGAAAATCATTGCTAACACTTGAACGCACTTTTTTATTTTGGGCATTTTATTTAGTATTATACACAGGATGTGGGTTAAGTTGGTAAGCAATAAATCAAAGTGAGGTAAACATTATTGTTTTTTTTTTCTCATTTTAATGGAGATATTAAGGCACAGAGAAGCCGACAGCTCCATGTAGCATGACTGGCAGGTGTCACAGCCACAGACAGCTGAAGTTAGAAATCCAGATGAGAAAACTGTAAGTAGAATAACCAGCAGGCTGAATCTTAAAATGTCTTTTCATGAAGGTCAAGTAAAATTTCTTCTAAAAAAAAAAATACGGCTTAACACTAACAAGCTCTTTGTTTTCTTCCTTATTGGAAATTGAATCCAAGTCCTTCATACTGAGCTACAGCCCCAAACCTATTCTTTAAATTTTATTTTGAGACAGGGTTTTATGAACATGCTAAATTGCCCAGGCTGGTGATGAACTTGCAATTTTCTTGCTGCAGCCTCCCAGAATGCTAGGATTCCAGATGTGATCTACCATGGTGGACAATAAAGTGAAGTTTTTATGTATCACAGTCATAGATCAAATTGGAGAGAAAGCTAGTATTGTAATGTATTACAACAAAGATTTTCAAACCATTATATGTTACGATTTTTAAATTATATAAGAGTCAGAAGTTCTGGTATGCTATTATTGACAGTAAAATGATTATAGATAACCATAATGTGTTCTATATTCAAAAAAAGCCTGAAAAAAAGAGTTTCACTGTTTTTACCCTAAAGGATGTTTGAGGCGACAGATATGTGAAACCTTAAACACTAAATAATATATACATATATTGAATTCTCACATGGTACCCCATAATTATGTACAAATTTTAAGTTTTTAAATATTTTAAAATTTCATGTTTTTAATTTAAAATTTTAAAACTTTCCAGAAATCAAGACACCATGAAATACAAAATGTCTAGTGAACTTGTGTCCTTAAATTTTAAAGACTAAAGGTGCACTCCTGTTCATATGAAATAAAAAATATGTAAATATATTGATGAATGATGGAATGATTCGCTATAGTAAAATAAAGAATATCTTTGGAGGTGAAAAACTACAAAACCGACTTCTAGATGGTCACTCAGCTTATACGCCAGTGTCTTTTGTGGAGTGGAGTGTAAAATTCTGGAAACTTGTAGAGTTTGTGGGCATGGTTTATGAAACAACAATAGTTTAAAAATCTTCTGTCCTGTATAAGTTAGGTAAGCCTGGTCAGAAGACATCGTGTAAAGTCAAGGCCTCTGAAAAGATGAAGTAGCACAGACATATATACGTGTACACAAAACACACACCTAATAATGAAACACATAAAACAGCACAATAGTAACAGTGAGCAGGAAAATCAAGGCAAATAATAAGATTCAGACAGATAGTAGAGTGCTGCTAACAGATGCGTAGCCTGAAGCAAATACAGATTGTAGGAAACATGGAGATAGATCTTTACAAAGGGGAAGCGGACCACGAAATGCAAGGGAAGCGGAAGAAGGAGAAGGGAAGAGAAGGCGAAGACAGTGAAGATACGTTATGTCCATGTGCCCATTCCCCAAAATGAGTGTACAGTAATCACTACAGACCGCAAACATTTACTAGTGAATATAGGAACTACAAAATTATTGTTTGGTTATAGGAATAGTAGTACCACAGACTTATATAGCGTGAAATACTATGTTTACAGAGACACTATTGTCAGTGACTAAAAAGATTATTTGAAAACAAAAAACAGATAGAAATTTTCCTTCTAAACATGTCAAAATAAATTCCAGATGCATTCATAAAATTGTTTTTAAGTGAAATCATACAAATGAAGCAAAAAATATATCCATCATCTAATCTCTGGATAGATAAGAGTTTTGGGGTTTTAAAGGCATGTAAGAAATCCAATAGAGGGATGTTAATATATGTAATGATCATATTTAGTGTCATTATAACTGAAGAAGATTATTTGAATTTTAGGTCTGATTTTCTGAAAATATTTCAATCCCATACATTAGAAACTTTATCTACAATAATGAGACACAAAACAAATCTAGAACTTCTTTATAACAAGTGTGTAAGGTGTTTGTTTTATTTTGCTCTATAATTTGTACTTCTAGGGCTAGAACCCAGGGCTTTGCACCTACTATGTAAGCACTTTACCACAACCCCTGTTACTATTTTTAATCCTAAGAAAGCTCATACAGATCCAAGGAGAAAGAAAGAATCTACTTCACACTGAAAGAAAATAAAAGAAACACAATTCATAAAAGAAATATATTTGTATTTCTTCAAACCAATGCCAATGAGACACTGGGATATACGTAATTTCTACTGTTTATGCAATTTAATTAAGTAGTTCAGACCATTCAGGCACACATTAGAGTTTTTTCCTAAAGAGATCAATAGCTCAGACTAAGCACACTGGTGAAATGCATCACAAATATGTGTGTAATTTCACAACTTGGGTCTCTATTGTAAATATGAATTTATATGATAAATGCTGATTTGATTTCAGTTTTGAAATGGAAAGTATCTTTGTTATCAACATGACTATTTATCTATTTGCAAAGATAAATATGTGAGGGGCTGGGGATTTAGCTCAGCAGCACAGCGCCTGCCTGGCAAGCACAAGGTTGTGAGTTCGATTCCCGGTACCGGAAAAAAACCAAAACAAAACACACAAACAAAAAAAGATAAATATGTGAGAGACAGCTGGAAAAGACTGTAAAGGGTAAAGCTGGTATTCCTGTCATCTTACATATTAGACAACAAGAGGCAAGGCCTAAACTTAACAGCTTATGAGGCAGGAATGTAAGCTTTCTATTTAATATGCTGAAGATACCATAGAAGAGACATACACTAGAAATGTAGGATGGTGAGGAGGAGAGAAGTAATTTGAACAAAATATTTTTCTTCCTCTAAAAATGGAAACAATATGAAAACATTTTGTTTTTTTAATAAGTTTATCTTTTTTGTTTGAATTAATTTTTTTGGTACAATTTAAGAATACAAAATGATCACATTCATCATAGGGAATTTGCACCTACCTGTGCGCGATATACCTTCATTTGTCTTTTTTCCCCTCCCACTGCCCTCCCCTCCCACACACCATTTAGAGATTGGAGGTGATTCTTTGGAAATGAATAGGAAAAATGGCTCAGTACAGTTAAATTGCAAAGGGATGGGAAGTAAAACCGAAACTGCTCAAAAGGAAAGACCAACTGGGATGGGAGAAAGGAGAAAAGAAAGAAAGAAGGAAGGGGAAAACAAAACAAAACAAAACAAATATATATATATAATATATATATTACATATAACAAATATATATATATAATATTTGTGTTATATATAACAAAAAGTTATATATATAACAAATATATATAACAAATATATATATATAATACCTAAGACAATTGCACTAGTAATTTCTATTGGTTCATTGAAAGGAACAATTAATGCTTAATTATTTGACCAGTTTTTCTTGCCTATATCTGGTAATCTGAACAACTGCTTTGAAGATAACAATATGCAGTATAACAACCATCGTTAATTCTATCATCTTGTTTTGAAATTTTGTATCATTTTAAAGGTTTTTTATTGTCCTTAAAATAAAATAAATTTTTAAAAAGTTGAAGAGGACACCATTGCTGAATATTTTATTCCTTTCCTTACTAAAATTTTATTTTACTTTGTATTATCTTCTGGTGATAAAATATTTGTATACAAAGGTCTTCATTAAAGCACTTGTTTGTTACAACAAATAAAAATTAGAAAAAAATAAATGTTTAACATAAAGTTGAACTGGTAGATAGTTCAGTACACACATGTGCTGATGTATGATTTAGGTGCTGGAACCAGATTTCAGGGAAGACTTTTAAGAGACTGGAAGAAAACAGCATGCAAAGTAAAAGGGAGCAATACCAAAACTTCTCCATGCATTATGACAAATGTATACAAAAATATTAACACAAGTGCTAAATTGCCACTGAATTCTATACATTTATTTTTTTACATTTCCACTTTTATAACTTTGCAATGATAATGTCCTTATTTTAAAAGAGGAAGTCAAAAATGACATAACTGACATTAACACTGTGATTGAGTTGTTAGAAAGTGACTAAGACAGAAATTTATCATTTATATACTAAAACACATCAGATTTTAATCTTTCAAGATTCAGAGTTACATATTATGCTTAAATTGATAATCTTATAGTCATATTTTAAAAAGCAGGCAGGGTAAGCTATGTCAAAGGAGCAAATCTTAGGGGGAAAGCCTATGGTGGAGTCACGATTTACTTTAGTCTTTGCAAAGAGGACAAAAATTCACTCTTTGAGACATAAAGAAACTGTTCCAGATGCATGTTATGAATTTCCTACTGGAACTTGGCACCTAACTGCCTTGGAAGTAGCTCTCAAATGTTTTACAGCAAGGAGTTACATTGGCACTGGATTCCTTAATGTTTGGAGTTTATTGTGAATTCCATTACACACAGTACTGGCTTAAATTAGCGTCTGCCTCTTTGCCCTCTTTAACTCATAACTGTCGTATTTTCAAGTTCTTGAGGCTCCTTCTTGCACTCTAATTTATTGCTTACATCTCAAGATCTGATATCTTTTTGCTTCCAATTGGAACACTTATCCTTCAATGAATGCTGCCATTTTACACTAGAACTCACAGAAGCAAAAACAATTGAATAAATAAATAAGATATGGAAGGTCTGTGGACCCACAGATCTGTGACTGCCCACCCCCTCCTTATAGAGACATACACACAGTCATGCATAGCATCATGCTGATTTGGCCAATGACAGACACTGTACACGACAATGACCTTATAAGATTGTATCACACAATGAGGTTTTACTTGTATATGTACTTTATGACATCTGAACAATAAATTCATCTAATGATATATTTTCCAGAACTTTTTCCCTATCATTAGCATGGCCTGACTGTATAAACACACACACACACACACACGCACACGCACATGCACATATATGCACATAGACATACCCACACATACACGAGTGATTAGGCTCTTTTTGCTTTTCAAAGCATTATAATTAAATATAAAATTAATTACTAAGAGAATAAAAACTGTTTCCTGGAGTGAACCCTGCTATAAAGGCAGTTTTATGAGAGCTTATCATGTGCACAGATCACATTGGCTTTTAAGGAGCCCTCCCCAGAGCCCTGAGGGCTTCCTCACCTCGGCGAGCGTACTTCTCATCCTTGACACAGATTTCACTTAAGGAACCAACTGGATCACAGTGACAAGGTTGGCATGGTCTCGGATAATTTGGTGACACCTAACAGAAATATTAAAATGCTTTCAGTCAAATGTAATAAAAACACCAATACTTTTCAATTCAGTGAACTTTCACAGATGTGTTAGTTTTATAATACATAAATTATTTTGAGAAAATTATAAAACATACCTTTAATATGTGTTTGCAGTTTCTAAAATCTAGTGTTCTAAATATATACACAGAGCAAAGAAGATCGAACAGCAAACTCTTAATATTTGCCACCTAGATTCAACAAGAATCAAGATTTTGCCATCTGAGTTTCATGTTGTTACTGCATTTTTAGAAGAAATTGTGAGTAAAACCTTTGAATCCCTACACATTTAAGGATGCATCCATCGTCACCAGAGTATTATTATCATAACAAGAAAAATGATAATATTTATTTGTATAGTCTAATTATGCTGTATAAAAGATCTTCCTCTTTTTGGCTTTTTATTACAGCATAGCTCAAAATTAGCAAAGTTTCTGCCCAATTCATTTTTAAGCACCTCTTTCACGTTGATCATGATGTGATTAAGTGGAAATTTAGGCTTGGGGCACCAAAATACTATTAAATACTTAAATTAAAAACTTGGTTTTCTCAGAGGCTGTGTAACCTGACAGGAAACAAGGGAAACTGTGTAATTTGGAAAACTTGAGCTCATCTCCCAGTGTGATCACTTACTGACTAGGGCACAGTGCGCAATTTATTTACTTCCCTGTGATATGAGAATAATACAAACAACTACAAAAATACTCTGTAAATTAAAATTAAAAAGAATAACATATAAAGCATCTCCCAGCATATATTACATACATGATACAACTAGTAGATCTTTCTGCTTTAATTAAACAAAACTAAAGTTTCTCATATAATGTACATATAACATGTGTTTTCCAGACAGAATAAAAAAGAACCAAAACTAAATTAGCTGTCCAGGAAATACTGAAATGGTGTTGAATATATTGTACACACCTATACATGTATCAGTATACATACATGTACACATATACGTAAGCTTAATTCACAAGTGGAAACTTGTTAACTGATAGAATTAAGGGTTTTAAAACGAGTTGTTTACTTAAGATTTTTTATAGATGATTGAATTTAAATCAAATAAGTTCATACAACAGTTTCAAAATCATCACTTGTTCAAGTGCATTTATTTCCCCGATTATGAAATAAGGATTATACACAGCAGAGATTAAAGTCTTGGTTCCTGCCTTAAGTTTACAGGGTTAAGTTTTGAAGGACAGTGACTAAAGAGAATATGGTAAGTGTTAAAAGAGATGCACCAACAGGGCCTTGTGGGGCAAAAAAGAAAGAATATTACAACACAAGGAAGTGAAGCAGTGTTTTGCAGAAAACCTAACATTTACTAGAGCTTCAAATATGAATAGCAATTGGAAAGTGGGATTGGGAGAAGAAATGCTTTCTACCCAGAGAAAACACCAGGACATTAAAAAAAACACCTGTGGCGTACCACAATACATTGTTTTAGGTAAAAATTTGACTTTAGAAGTATGACTTATGATATCAATGGTGGGTTGCAATGAGCCGAGGCCTCCTGCCCACTTTATATCTGTACTAATTGGAAAAATTTGTTTGAATTAGACTGTTCAACAAGAACGCTAATCTATAAGATTCCACAAGGAGGTCTACACTGATTTTTAATTTTATCAAAATAATAATTCAGATTATGTCAGTCCTCTAAATACTGTTATATATATTTCATGTGTAAAATATATACAAATATCAATCAAATTTAAATATTTAGTACATAAATGTAAAATCAAATTTTGAGAAAACAATTTTAAGAACCTCATAGAAATGTTATGTTCCAGTGCACAAAAGTTTATTTTCATAGCTTTGTGGACTTCTCAAATATTAAGTGCTTGCCATATCTGCACATAAAAACTTCTATCTAGCAAAAGTATGTTTATAAGTATCAAAACATCAAAAATCTCATCCAGATTCACTTAATTACTTGACTTGTAATAAAAACTTGATTAAGTTTCAAGGTCTGATTTAGTAATGCATCCTGTATGAGAATAATATATCATTAGATGACAATGATGAATTATGAATCCTGGATAAAACATAAAAATTAAATTATTTGAGCACTTGTGTGGATAATGAAAATCAGGCATACACCAGAAGAATGTGATGTTTGAAAGGAAAAAGATTCACAGAAGAATATCCATTGTCAGAGAGAGTCAAGACCACACTCTTCCTATTTGTACACGGCAAGTGTTTAACAATCCATTGTTGTGCAGATACATGTAAGAGATGTCAAGAAATGCAGGACAAAAGCAGTTCTGGAAAGATGAGTAGGTTGAGCAAAGATTTCAGGTGCTTCCCACCATAAAATGAACAGAAAATGAAGTTTAAACCAACCAGGTTAGAAATGTTAAATAAATAAATATCACGAATTTTCTCTGTGTTGTAACAAATAAAAGAAAACTTCCACATGTTGCAAGTGTCACTCAGTAAGTGTATTACTAAGCAGAGCACAACTCAAAGCCTCCACAGGAAGATAACGAAATGTAAGGTCTCTACACTGTGTTATTCAGAATGTCCCTTAAAAACAATAATTATATCAGGTGCAGTGGTATGCACCTGTAATCCCAGCACCTAGAGCAGGCCAAGCAGGAGGATTCCAAATTCCAGTCCTGACTGGGCAACGAAGCTGGGCCATGTCTCAAAATTAAAAACTCAAAAAACAAAACAAAACAAAAGTGTTGGGGATGTAGCTCAGTGGTAGAGCACCTCCAAATGTAATCCTCACTATTACAGAAATAAATAAAGTAGTAAAAATGTGATACTTATTTAATGCAAAGAAGTCAACAAAAGTACACCATGGGATGGACCAGGTATTCAAAACAACACATTTTGAAGTGTCATTGCAGGTACTGCAAACGTGTCAAAAACATAAAGGCAATAAATGTTTGTACTGAGTGACTGTATGAGATATTTCAGCAGAAAAGCAGAAACTGTAAGCAGTATAATTCCTGGTAGTCAAAAGTACACATGGGATAAGATGGAAAAATACAGTGAATGTTTAAATATTAAAAACGGATAACAGTAAAAGACACATTGCCATTAATCCATTTCAAAGCACCTGCCTCCCTTCAAATACACATCACAATGTTCTTGCCGCTTTCTAGAGAAGTTCTAGAAACCCTCTTTCGCGAGTGTCTTCAGTTACACCATAGTGGCTGCCTCGATTTTGAATCAGTTAAAAATGTTTACTTCTCATCCAGGGAAAAACAGGACAGCTCACGGTGCTAGATACAGTAAGTCAGGTTGATGAGGACACAACATAGTATATTTTAAAGCCTTCCCTTTCATTGGATGACACAGGGCACCTGATTCATCCTTTTAAATTGTCACACCTCGTAAACACTGTAGTGGAAGACAACATCCAGAATTTCCTCTGTAAGTGAAAAGAAGAATGGGATAATTGTGTTTGAAATGGGGGTGGTGTTGAGGGAAATTAATAGCAATGTAGCTTTTACGGCAAGAATATTTTTTTGATATCTAAGGATGATTATATTTTTGATCAACCCTTGTATCTCAGTTTTAAAATTCTCTGGCTGTGTTTAATGTCAAGTTACAAATGACAAGAAGAAAACTCTTCAAAGTAATGACATATGGCAGACAGATAATCAAATATAAAGAATAGAGAAAGAAAGCTTTTAAAAATAACAGCATCGCCTCATTAACCTATCAGGCACAATCCAGCAACATGATATGCATGTGGTTGGACTATCAGAAGAAAAAGAGAAATCATGGGTCAAAAAATATTTCTCAGGTACTAGGACCTAAAATTTCCTAAATGTGGAATTAACTCTGAATTTTCTGAACTCTGAAATAGATAGTTCTAACTCTGAATCCACAAAGCTCAGTAGGTGGAGCAAGACAATCACAAAGAAATTAAACATAAACACATCAGTGTCTAACTGAGACAGAATATATTTCTAACTGAGGTTGGAATACATTTTGCAGAGATAGTAAAATGAGATTTTGCAAGTCATAGAAGGTCTCCTTTTCTCCTCCACCCTCTTTTACCCCTTATCTTTTTTCCTCTCTTCCTATTCTTCTTCTAACAAACCTTATAAATGCAAAAAATAAAAAAAGATTTAGCTTAAAGACCATGTACAAGTAGGCCATAGACCAGATTTGTCTAAATGCCAGTTTTCCAATAAATTGCACAACTCCAAATACAAAGAGAATATGTTGAAACAAGCTAATGAGTTAAAGATTGTTATGATTTGTATCTAGATGCTTCCCTGAAGCTTTATTATCTTATAGGTGAGGCTTTAGCGAGGTGGTTGGATCATGGGGGTTTGATACTTATGAGTGGATTTGCCCACTGTTCCTTGATGGCTAAATGTGATGAGTTGAAACCTGGTTGGAGATGGGAGGTCACTGGGGCAGTGGCCTCTCTCCTCTTCCCTTGATATCCTCTCTGTCTCTCTCTGTCTCTCTCTGTCTCTCTCTCTGTCTCTCTCTCTGTCTCTCTCTGTCTCTCTGTCTATATTCTATACTTTAAAAATGATGTTATTTTTTAAAAAATTTTGACCTTTTGGATGAAATAATATCTTTAAATTATAGCACAACAAACTTGACTTATGAAAAAATATAAAACCTATCTAGCCCTATATAAAATAATAATTGAAATTACTGTCAATATTTTTATACAAAGAAAGAGGCTCAGATAATTTCTCAAAAGGAATTCTGTTTTAAAATTTCCTGAAACATTTTTAAAAGAATTAATTTCAGTTTTACACAAGTTATTTTATAAATCACAGGAAGGGAAAACATTTCCCAGGCTTATATTTTGAGATTAGCATACATAGAGAAACTAAGACATTACAAGAAAGTGAGACTACAGGCAAATATCCCTGTGTGACGAGACAGCAGTTCTTCACCAAATCAAATCGCCCAACATAGACAAATGGTAATATTCATAATCATGTGGAGTTAAATCCACAAACGCAAAGCTAGTTTAATATTTGATAAATCAATCGATGTAACTGCCCACACTGAGAGGGGAAAATATTTATATTTACTTCAGCAGAGCAGAAATGCATTTGTCAAAATGTAAAAACTTCATAATACTCTCAGTAACCTAGGAATAGTACAGAAGTTGCTGTATCTGATAAAGGGCATCCATAAAAAATCTACAACTCACAGTGAATTATTATACTTCCTGTTAAGATTAAGAACAATATAAACAATGTTCACTCTCACCACTTTTACTTAACATTGGCATAAATATTGTAAGAATAGAAGGAAGCTTGAATTTATTTGTACATAGTGCCTTCTGGGTATATGTCTAAAAGACCTACTTTAAAACTATAAGAACCAATAAGTAAGTTTTCAATTAAAATACAACACAAAGTTAGTATTCAAATTTTTTTGTAAAAATAATGTGAAAGAACTAGAAAATATTTTAGAAATAATTTATACAATAATTCAAAACAAAACACTGAAAATTAAATTTAATCGATACAAATTCTCTATTGCAAAAATAATGTTATGAATAACTACAGAAGATATAGACATATAGACAAATATACTATTTATTGATGAAATGATTCAAGATTTTGATGCTATTAATACTCTCCATATTATTACATAGATTCCAACAACAATCCCGAATATTTTCTGCAACATGGAAATGCAGAAAACGTATAGTAAACCAAAGAATGCTCAAAATGAAATGTAATGCTAGTTGTTACATTACTGTACTTATCTCTAAGTTTGTTAAAGCTAATATAATCAAGATCATATCTCATTAGCAAAAGATGAACAAAGAGAAGGAATTGAGGCTGCAAAAATTGATCTCTATAGCATGATCACATTACATGGTGCTTGAATAACTGATTTAAAAAACCATTTAAATCTCAATCATTATTGCATAACATAGACAAAGATTTCCTTGAATTTTTTTCTGGGAGTTAAAGTGAGAAAGCTTCTAAAACAATTATATCTCGACTTTAATAGATACTTCATGGGCAAAGATAACGGCAACAGCCAACAAGCACTTAAAATGAGGATTGATGCTCTAATGCAAAGCCACTCCGTGACCATTAGAATGTACTATTTTCCTTTTTTTTTTTTTTGCATAACTATATCCGGTCATCTGAGCAAATACTTTGTAGATAACAATAAGTAATACAACAACCATTGTTGATTTCCTATCATCTTGTTTAGAATGTATTATTTTTAAAACGGTCATCAATCTCATGTAACATGCCAGAAACAACTAAAAAATATTTAAAGATCAGATGTCTTTGGTGAACATGTAAAATATTATTACTAACGGTAAAATTTCAGGAGTTTCTTGTAGAGTTAAACATGTACTTATCTTTTGAGATAATTATTATATTCTTAGGTATTCATTCAAGTTAAATTTAAAAACAACCGTAAAAAGACTTGTGTAAGGTTATTGTTGTAGCAAACCAAAACCTGGAAAGAAGCTAATGTGCACCAATGGGAGAAAGGAATGAATTTTATACAGTCATGCAGAGCATTACTCATAATTCTGAAACAGAATTACCTAATGATGTATACTACATGAATAAATCCTAAAACATTATAAACAAAAGAGTGAAGACACAAATTAGCATGAATCACATGAATTCATTTCTATGAAGTTAATTAAAACATAAAGCTAATTCACATTGTTAAAATCAGAACAGAGTGTTCTGGTGCTGGGGGTTGACTGGAATGACTCACAGTGGAATTTTCTGGAGTAATGGGAATGTTTTCTATCACATTCTTAAAGATTTGCATCATTTTAGTTATGAAAATTTCCCAGTCTCCTGTTAGAACTTGAGGTTCAACATTTTAGAGAAGCTATGCAAATTACTTTTCTTCACATCTTTGGCATATGGAAAAGCAAAAATAACACTCTATGACAGAGAAGCATACTTTACCCCTTTGGGTCTGAAGAAGCCATCAATACATGTCTCACAGTTGATACCAGCAGTGTTCTGCGTGCAGTTAACACACACACCCCCTCCGATGTACTTTCCATGTATATTCAAGCTCAGATTTCTCCTGGCGACATTTTCATCATAATAGCATTCTTCAGCTTTTCCATGGCAATTGCATGCTACACGAGGGAAAAATAAATTAGCAAACATTAGTTGTGGGTTTCAGATACGTTTAAAACTATTTTCTCATACATTTAGCGCACATACAAGCAAACATATTTAGAAAGAATTTGAATTTATGGGGTAAGTTAATTAATTCACACTTTTAATGAAATGTGAGATAATCAAACATAATTTAAAATTGAAATTTTCAATATAGCTCTGACCTTTTACATATAAAAGTACAATTTCGAATGGCTCAGCACACAATGTCCTATTACATATTACAGCACATAATAAATAATTGAACAGCAGGACTGAATGACTGACAACCAGGCAGTCTGTAATGAGTAATTACTACAGTGAATCTCTGTGCTGGATTTGACGGGTAAAAATGGACATGTGGAGTAGTATTTTTCTCTCTTAGCAACTAAACTATGACAACCAAAATTGATTTGTTTAACAAATTGTTTTATATTGCTTATGAATGATTATAATTAAAATACACCACTTTTCTTATTTTAGGAATCTGAGCCAAACAGCAGTGTAGTAACACATCAGAGATAACCTCATCAGTGCTGGAAATCAAGTGGTGAAGTTAAGTTTCCAGAATCTGTACTTCTAACCTTCACATTCTACCCGGTGAGTGAGATGCAGGGTAGGTGTGTCAAGCTATCGGGGCAGAAGGAGAGCAACTCCTTGAGTTGAATGTTGCTATCCTGTCCTCTAATTAGCAGTGTATGATGTTAAACTGCTTCCTCTTTTCAGCTGTGTGACACTGAAAATCCCAGCATCAAAGATATTTTATTATTCATCTTTATAATTGTTTTCCAAAGACAAAATACTTAGAATAATGCTGTAAGCAAAGGAAATATCTCAATAAATAACAGTAGCAGCATTGATTGAATGACAAAGATAAAGATGATAGTACAAGTTGTTCAACTATGTGAGTATAGGTATAGGTGAAATTTATGTAAATAGAACTTCCGGCCAATTCCTATATAAAGTTAAATTTTAATAGCTTGAAATTTTTTCATCCAGAAATACTGTGTTGGATCACTCTCTCCACAGTAGATGTGATGACAACATTTCCTTATAGCCTCACCAATATTGTGTCTTATCTATACTTTGAATACCATTAATAAACATTCAGGCATTTGTGGAGTGGGTGAACACATACTTTCTTAAATTTTAATTGATACTTTTTCAGTTGGGAATGTGATCATGCATTGGTGAGGCTGTGAAAGTCATCTTTTTTTCTGAGAAAAATATATTTGACATTTGCTTATTTTAAACAGGTTTACAGGATTTTTCTTATTGATATGTGGGATCTTTTAATACAGTGAGGATATTATCTCATTGGCGTATTTGTTGCAAATATTTCCCCCAATTTGTTGACTTGATTTAGAACATGATATTTTTGCTACACTGATGGAGTTTCAAATTTTATTCTAGGGAACACATAGTAAGAGGTACAAATCTGCAGGCATTATGAATAGCTTCATAGCTGTAGGATTATCCCTAAGAATACTTAAACATCCTCTTTTAGAAATGTATTGCCAAAAATGAAGATTCTTGCTGCCAGTATAAATAGAGGGAAATATAGTGTGATACAAACTTATTCTTACGCTGTTTAGATTTGGTGTTACCTTGTGTTATGCAGACAAAACACGAATGTCTGAGAAACAGGCTTTTGTGTATTCCTGCCTCAACTCCTTTGTACTCCTGTACATTGCAGTCCTCACTGCTGTCAGTCAACTCCCCCCAATCATCCCTGAATTCACAGAAGCAGAGGATAAGGACAGCACCAGCTGACACTGAGCCATTTTCTGCATTGGCATCGGCAACTTGCTATTTCACAGAATGTCTGAGACATGCGCTGTGAAACCATTCTTTAAGTAAAGGCTTAGCAATGGAATGAATATTCGTCACTCTTTAGAGAAGTACTCATGTCTTGGCTTAAATAAGTTAGTTAGAGGAAAATCCACATTAAACTCAAATAAATTAGAAGGTGATCATCTGTTTTATAGAGGGATTTATCATGTCACAGCAGAATTTTCCTAGGTAGAAGATGAGTGGAATGCAATTCAAGTTGGAAAAGAAAACTTTTAACTTTTAAGAATGCATGGATTTCCAAAACTACAATATTTATGTAAGATTTTAGGGTTTCGATGCCCATCTTTAATTTTTGAATTTTGGAAATGCTTCTTCTACTCTACAAACATTAGGAAAAATTGTTCTATAATGCCAGTATTTACAGGATGCATATAAGAGTAAATGGAAATCCTCTGCTTTGTTTTACTTTTCCTCTGTTGCTAACAAGTTGATCAGTCCCTCTTTGTGGTGTTTGTTTAGACCTAGATGCACCAGGGCTGAGTGGTAAAGGACTTTGAAAATGCACTTAACATGGAAGTCTGTGTGATATGGTGTCAGAGGCAACAGAAAGAATCTCTACCTTCAAAAGCTGCTCCCACTGGAGATGATTGATACTTCACAAAAGGAAGACAGCTTAGCTAACATTTAAAGGCCTTTGGGAGGAAATATTCCTGTGTGGGATTTCACGTAAAGTTATCCTTAGGAATGGATGAAAAAAGCTTTGGAAAATCTGAGGTCTTTGCTGGTTTGAGGCTGGAGCAGTTGAAGGAAACCTGTGATGGTAGTGACCACTCAGAGTGGCCCATGTCTCTAGATATGACCCACGGGTTATGAAAATAGCTCTATGAAAAGGCAGACACAAATCTGAAGGCAAATAACGTAAGTGCAGAAGATGACGGCTCACGCAGCATTTCAAACTGGGAACAAAATATACTTACGGCTGGAGAAAATTTTATACTTAAAGTGTGCTGTGATGCAATAATCTTAAAGATCTAGCATTTCCAACAAGAGATGTATGATAAATATGGCCTGAATTCATGTGTACTGAATGAATATATAGCGTTGAGATTAGTATAAGATATCCGTCACTTGTTTTAGAATCATATAGGCCTGAATCATATAAGCTGAAACTATACAGTTAGGGTTGATTTACCAAAATATCACCATTAAAATTCAGTTGAGCAGGGGATATAGCTCAGTGGCATAAGCGCCTGCCTGGCAAGTGCAAGGTTGTGAGTTCAATCCCTGGTACCATTAAAAAAAAAAAAAAAAAAAAAAAATTCAGTTGAATTGGGCTACATGCTAGTTTGGGTTTATGTTCCAGCTGAAATCTGCTTTAAGGTTTTGTAGCTTGGGAAAATCACCAAAAACATAAGTGTCTCAAAAATTCCTTTCGCCATTTTGGCCCAGTTGGCAGTATTAGGCTATAATTTCAGCTACTGCACTTCATAGGTATTTTCCTTCAGAAATATATTCACTTAATTTCAAAGCAATAAATTATAAATGAGCACTTATTGACATGTTGGCACAGCCAGTCATTTTATTATTTCTTCATTAGTGGCATATTTTGGGGGGATCACTGGCCGGTAATTGTATAGCATAGTTCACGCAATACGTGATAATGATTATCATTACTGATAACGATTATCATAAAAGCACTTTTAACATGAGTACCTCTGGATGCTTGCTACTAAGACTCTCTATTTTAAGATATGTTCACCTATCATTATCAGTAGGCCAAGCAGACATGGACATCCCTATGTTTATTTCAACCCTACTCAGAACAGCCAATATATGGAGTCAACAGGGGAACATATCAAGAAAATGTGGAAGATATACATGATGGAATATGATTAAGTCAATAGAAGGATGACATCTTCCATCTGTGATGACAGGGATGGAAGTGAACAACGTCATATAAAGCAACATAAACCAGGCCCAGGAAGACAAATACCACCTGACTTCCCTGATATGTAGAACCCACAAATGCTGATCTTACAGGAGATGAGTACAGAATAGAGGCACAGGTGGTGGGGAGAGTATGCAGAATGCAGAGATGCAGTGGGTACTGAGTTGCAGTCAGACAGAAGGAATAATTCTGGCCTTTTGTGCAGCACTAGGATGACTACAGAAAATAACGGCAAACTGTGTATTTCAAAGAAACTCCATGAAGGGATTTGGGGTATTTTCACCTCAAAGAAATGATAAATGTTTGAGAAGATAGCTATGCCTACCTTAATCAAAACATTTGAAATTACGTACATGTAGCAAAGTATCATATGCTACCCGTAAGTGTTTACATCAGATTTATACAATAAGTATTCTTATTTCCATGAATTTTATCTTTTGCCTTTGTCACCTTTTATTCTTATACCACTCATAACTACTGCTCCCTCGAGGAGCACCGCCTCAAGGAAATATAACTGCTGAACCCTAAGGAATGAATTTCCCCCTGATCTTTCTCCTTTCTTTAGGCACTGAGTATTCAGGAAAGAAGGGTAGAGAACGGACTACAAAAGGAAGTTTCTAGAATGAGACAGAACAAATACATGTCTCAGAACCATTTCCCAAGTATGTGCATTTAGAAAGCTAGTTTGGACAGTCACAGTTTTACTTAATGTTTATTTACAATCCCTATGGTCTGTGTATACACATTATACTGTAAGCACTGGCTTCACCCTACAAACAACACATGCACAGTATGCTGTTGAGTGCTCCCACCATCCTCACACAATGGTAGATGTATAGATGTGGCAAATATTTCCAAATATAAAAACAAAACCCCTAGACAAGTAATTGGCTCTGATAAAAGGGTAAAGAATCTGTCAGCTCTTGTGCTGGATGAAGCAGACACCCAAACTGCAGCCAGGAGCTTCCCTACGGTCCCACTCACGTCTCAGCACAAGAACAGTGTCCAATCTGCTGCTTCTCAGGAACATACCTTCACATTCCGTCTTCGTCAGGAAAGTCCCCGCTTGCCACGGTTTCTGGTGGAATCCTGGGCAGCACTGATCGCAGCTCTCCCCGCAGGTGTTGTGCTCACACTCACAGCGCGATTTCTGGTCACACAGGGGGGAGCACACTTTGAGCATTGGTTAGAATTGCAGAGGAAGCGGAGGTCTCTTTGAAAGGTAGTACAATGTAAGGAAAAACTTCTACAGTGTGCACTGAAATGTAAAACTGCTCTCAGGCTGGGCAGCAGATGGTGCCTGCCGTGGAGTGGGCCGCTTTGATCAACACCAGCTTTGGATGATCCGGGCTCATCCCGGAATTACTGGGTATATGTTTGGAAGAGAGCAGGAAGCCTAATGGGATGTGGTCTTGAAGACTGAATTCTCCTGCTTTGATGCCAGGGGTCTGTAGCTTTCCTGGGACAAATGTGTCTCTTCCACGGCACCCCTCAAGTGCTGTTGATATTTTTGGATGTGGCAAAGGGAGAGTTCACTCACACACCTGTGCATCTCAAGTGCATAGGAAGAACAGAAATCTAGTGTTTCTGGATTAAATCTCCTGTCTGCATGTGCTCTGAGCACAGTCTCAGTTTACCACGTGTACATGTCCTTCCAAGGAAGCCCGCCCAGTGGGCTCCGTAGCTCGGGCAGCTTTGCCCATTAGCACCTATGATGACAAACCCTCGTCGTGCAGCAAGCAGCATTACAACCTCACCCGAAAAATGTGCCAAGATTTTGAAATCATCCCAGGAGGTAACATCCTGCAGTCCACTACCTAGAAAACTGCCTGAGTATAACACCATCCATGCTATAGTTGCAGCTGAGCAAAATAAAAGCAGAAATACCAACCATGGCGTTACCATCATTCACCAATCTTCCCATTTAATATATTTCTTCTGTACACTGCGTGGCAGATAGTTTTGAATTTCATCAGCTTATTTGTGACAAGCAAAACACATGCTCATTCATCTTGTTTTGTAGATTATGCTCAACTTATGCACTGCTATGAATGGAAAATTCTGTCAGAAGCATTCCAGCATTTTGTGCCCTGGCAGGACACTCTCTGGAATCTTCTCTTCTACTCCCCTTTTCGGCTCCACCCTACCTCTGCCTCCTGTTCCATGGCCATTTATAGATTTACCCTCATATCTATTTTTCATTTGTTTGCATTAATTTTTTGATTAAAGTTTTTTAAAAAGAAATGGACAGGTTGATGGATGGCAGGTATTCTTTAGAGCGAAATCATGCAGCAGGCTGTCAGAGCAAGAGAGGCTCCAAAATAGCAGTTTGGAACCTTTTAGGGAAAGAAAAAACCTAATCTGTTTTCTGATATCATGATGGTTGACTTCAAAGTCTATCATCTTAACTGCCAGCTCCGTTTCACCACAGCCTGGCTTTCTCTTACACTGTCTAAGTGGGGACCCAAAACCGGTTCACAGGGTTCCCTGTCAGCAAGGCCTTTTTCTGTGAAACATTTTACAGTTCAGCACTTCATTTCCTCTAAGCATCCTATAAATATACATACATTTGTGGCTGGATCAAGCGGACAAGCCCTGGCATGACCATAGCAGATGCACATCCCTCCGACCGAAATATCCTTGACAGAGTAGTAATACTGCAAAAAGCAATCCAGAGAAAAATCCTGTTAGGGTGGCTGCGAGGTGAAAGTAACAAAAGGGATATTCAGTTACCATTTTATTTTTTGCTTTTATGCTTCATTGGAAGCACGTTTGTAGTTCTTGAGGACAGCGAGGGCTCATGAAATGGATAATGTAACCCTAGCTTTCTAGCCATCGTCTAGGAGGAAAATGCTTCTAATTTATGTTAGGTGGGTGCTGTAGAAATTTCTTCTTGACATGGGATACAAAGGCCATGCTTGAGTACCCACTGTTAAGAGTAACTTCTGTTTTTGCTGTTTAAAATCTGAGGCTAAAGACAATAATTCTTCATAAAAGTCATTAGACATAGTTTCTGGAAAGAAAACCTCTGTAATTAGGATGAGAAAGACCTCAGTACCCACATAACTTATGTGGACTATTTTACAGGATGGATTTGATAAGACACAATAATTGTACAGGAACTTGTGCTACTAATAAGTTTTTATCCAAGTTTTGAAAGTTTGGGGAAAAACACTGCAAATTTGAAGTACAGAACACCTGCTTTTTTATTATTATATTAAAATACTCAATTATGTTCCTGTCTGAAGTTAATACAGGGATATGCCCCTAATACTTCAATCTAGCAGTTATTTTTAAAGATTATTGTTATGAGAGAGCTGGACTAATATTAAAATTTTAATTAATATGTGCATAAGATTTAATCATTCTCAGAGCTCTCTGCATTATTATATGGCATCTAAAGAACATGCTTAAAAGAGTATGGTTTTATTATCCTAATTATACACATGAAAAACTATGTGTTTTAGAAAGAATAAGTACATTGGAAAGAATCTCAGTTCCCTGGTCTGCCTTTTCCACGTCTTTCTTTCTGCCTCTCCTTCCTGTTCTCCTCCTTCTCCCTCTCTTTCTGTTATTTGTACATAGCATCTTTTACAAATATTTTTCTTATATTATCTTAATCTGCCTAGACTTTGAACCAATGGAACCTGCATGGAAATGTGGATAATGTAAAAATCTCCTTTTCACTTAACTTCCTCATTTAATAATATAAATATTAATGGATATATGCGCTCAAAATGCTGCCACAGTTAGATTGGAAGATGCCTTTAAAATTGGGAAATTGATTTTACATATAAATGTAAAATGCTTTGCTTTTGAATCATGAAGAAGACCAGAAATTCAATATCCTATTTTTATATATTTAAATTTGTATGTAGTGTTTATTGAGCTTGAGTACTTTCAAAAATCATATTTATATATTAACTTGTACTGTACTATTTTAAAGTCTCATGCACAATGAAGTTATAAATAATAGATGGGCACCCTCACTCTCTCTCTGCCTCCTGCAAAAGATGATAAAAGGAAAACTAATTTATTTTCATTGATTTTTTTTTACCCTGATAGATATCCTGTCAAGAATGAATAAATTTCACTTCAAATTTATTCAGTGTTCCTTGGTGTATATTTTCAGTCATGCTACAATTATAATCAAAGATTATTTTTTAAAAAACGTAAAAATCTAAATATTGCTATAAAATAACAATTGCTTCTACACAAGGCAATTGACAATACATTGAAATATAAAACAAGGTAAAGTTGTTTCAAATTTGGAAAAACAGAGCAGCAGAACATCTGCAGTAGGTTGTACGTGGAGAATTAAAACGTTCAGTTGTTTTGTGATGATGGAGAGGTTAGGTGTGGGTTAGTTATATAAGGAGGAGAAAAGCACAGGAGGAATATTCATTGTTCAGGACCTGTGATACTCAGAGGTTTAGCAGTTAGTGCTGAGGCTCTATGTGCTAATCCGATGGTGTTCTCCTTATCATCCTCTTGCATAACTTTTACATCCAGTAATACAGCAGTTACCTTGTTGGAATGCGTTTGTCTTACGGACTTATGGCTGAATTGATTCTCTTAGTAATACATAATGTCATAGTCATGTAGCTGCACATATGAGAGATGTGTACATTAATTAGTGTGGTATAGAGTAGACAAGAAGAAGTGCCACTATCACTCAAGGCAATCTAGGCTGATCACTAATGTCACAGTTCTACAAATTCTAGCTTAACACTGGAAGATAGCACTTCTGTTAGTTTCACTGGTCAAAGATCTGTAGGAAAAATGCTGTAACCTTTTGTGGGTTTTTTTTTTTTTTTTCTATCTGGGGATTGAACACAAGGTATTTTCACTGAATTACACCCTCAGCCTTCTTTTAAACGTTCAACGTTAGACAGGGTCTTGCTAAGTTTCTTAGGCTGGGCTCAAGCTTATAATTTTTCTCCTTAGCCTAATAAATACAAACTTTTATTTTTAAATTTTATTTTATCACATTTATTAAACACACATTGGAAAGCACATCAATCTGCAGTGCATCTCATGGTAAATCAATTTATAACAAAACTGAAAAAGGGTATCGTGTATATAGAAAATGTTTTCCCCAAAATGTCCATAATACAGTCCAGTGTTACACAGTGGTCATACTTTTTAAGTATAGGAAGATGGAAAATAAGAGTTCTTTGCTACTCAGCAAGGAAAAATATGTGTGAAAGAAATAAAAGAATGGAAGTTTAGGAATCTGAAAAAAGAACCTCTTGGTTCAGACATGTATTTACATTTATAGTCCCATTTAGTTATTTAAAAAACTCACGATGAGATATCAGAAGGAACACTGAATCATAGTGCTAAGAAATGCCAAGATCAATACGCCACTGAAACATCTGATAGAAGCGTTGCAGACAATTATTTACTCTGGATTGTGACATTTTTATAGTTCTGAACTGAAGGTAAACCAACTGGAGAGAATACTCCTTCTAACAGGCTGTGGTTTAAGGTCTCTTTCACATTTTTCTGACCAATCCTTCATTTCAAAAGCACAGCAATTACATGTGACCAAGGGAAAAGAGTAGCGGGTTTTATTATTTGCAATCAACCATTCCAGTGCTGACACAAGAGGCCATAAACTGTGAGAATTTATAACTGGATTTGCAAGAGTGATGAAAAGAGAGCAAAAACGGAACCCTTTGGGGGAGAAAATCCCTTCCACCCCAGATTTAATAGGTGAAGAGGATATTAAAGAATGTTAAATTATTTAAGTTTTTTTTTTTTTAAAAAAAGAACTATGAGAAAAGAATAAATCTTTCTGGAAAATATGCAGCTTTGCATTCTGAAAAGTAAATAATCAACAGAAGTACAGTTTAAACTTTTGCTATAGTAAATAACCCTATTTAATTCCATAAACTGTGGTAGCTTCGTAGGTAGTACATATGATCTTATTTAAAAAAAAATCAAATAGTGTATAGAAGCATTTTTTCTCTACAGCAGTGCTTTTATAAACTATAGCTCACTGTTCATTAAGGAAACACAATGAAACTTTGATGAGACAAAATGGCCCATAGGTCAGCAACGTGGACATCTAAACATTTTCTAGAACTTTCTAGAACTGCACATTCTCGGCCCTACCTTAGACCTACTAAAGTAAAATGTGTATATTTATAAGAACATCAGCTGATTCTATGCACATTAATGTTAAAGATATATCACTCTTTCTGTGTGTGTATATTGGGTCATGTTATAACATGAATTTCTTAATGTGGGTTATGACCCAAAATGTTTAAAGCCTTGACTTTTAGTTATATCTCCTCAGCAGTAATTGTAATAATAGTACAGGCCACCTAACATGACAAAAAGTAATTTGGTCCATAAAAAAATTATGAGCTAGATATTACGATTTTTGCTTTACAAAAGAGGAAATTAAAGAAAACGTATATTTACAAGTTTGACAAATGGTACACATTCAGTAAGTTCAGAGTTCAGATTTGAGCAAAGGAAGGTCTAATGAATTTTAAATTCTTCCAAAATTACCATCCCTACAAATTACTAAAAGATTTCTTTGTATGTTCCCGAACAGATAACTAAAAAGATGGGTGCCATAGAATTCATAAGCTCAATTATGACGCATAACTTACTCTTCTTGTGACAATGGGGTCAATTTCTCTTGGATCTTTGTGAGCAAACATCATCAGGTCAGCATTCAAGGTGCGGATCCTCTGAAATCGCAGACGAATGTATCGGGCAGAGGTGAATTCCAACAGTTCAGGAGAAGGATCATCAGCACTTGGTCTCCCATTGATCAAAGAAATGTGAATCTACACAACACAGAAAATAGTTTCAACAATTAAACTTACCAAAATTAAATGCCTGGCTGTGTTACTTTTTTCTAAGAAAAATAAAGGTAAGTTCTTTCTGTCAATCACGGTACTTGCTCATGTGTACTCCTTGGAAAACAGTGGAGTGACTGAGGTATTTCATGATCCATTTAAAATGCAGGTACGAAATTCATTCACGTATGGCTTAGATGTTCTCTATACTCTATTTTTAAAAAGACTAAGAAAGCAGAGAGCTTTTTTATTTTAATAATGAACAATGCAGTGCTTGGGCTCTAGGCAACTAATCTACCACTAAGCTACATCTTCAGCCATCTCACTGTGCTCTACAATTGCCTATATTCTTCTATGCAAGGCACTGTGTCCCCCTGCCCTTTCTAGGATTTCCACAAATTCTTTAATCAAATATTCTTTTCCAGAAAACTTTTATACCCTAAATTATTTAACAATCTGATGTGTAGTGAGAATCAAGTTACAAAATATTTCATAGAAACAGAAATCAAACTTTGTATGAACTTGAAATCATCTCATATCTACATATTCACATCTACATCAACATCTATACTACATCTATATCTACATCTATATCCATATTTATATCTATACCTAAATGCATTTCTATTAAAATATAAGGAGCAAAGATTGATAAATTTGGAGGAAAACCAGACAAACCTATGGTTACAGTAAGTAATTTCAATATATTTTTTCTTTTTGTGATTCATTTATTTTTTAGTAGATGATAGACCATGAAGAAAAAAATTTACCAAGACAATGACATACTCTATGAAAAAATATATTATAAGAAAATAGATTAAGCTTGGATGGAAAGGTGAATTGTTTAGGAAAGTAATTTAGCACCAGGAAAATATACAATCTAATCAGACCACATTCATGTAAAAATGGAGACAATGTCAAGGAACTTTCCTCCAAAGGAACAGGGTACCACACTCACAGGGATATCTTAAGAATAGAGAATTCTAATGAAGGATTAACTGCTGGATAAATAAAAAGAAAATTGCAATAAATAAAGGAAGCATGTCTCTACACGTAAAGGATTCTCATAAATCAACAAAGAAAAAGACCAACGATGTGATATAGAAATGGACAAAACGATACAGAGGCTCTACTGAAAGAAATAGGAACGGCTTTTAAACAATTGACAAAATACTGAAACTCACTCATAAACATCAATTAAAAGCATGCTGGCAAGCTTATTCCAGTTTGGAACTATTTCAAGTTTGGAAATATTTCAAGTTTGGAAATATTCAGGAACACTGATAATTTTCTTTAATGGCAACAATAAATGTATTATAGAATATCTCTTACACATATGAGTATGAATGTGTATGATGCAAACATCAATAGAAATTAATTTAGCAACAGCTATGAACATTAGAAAAGCATGAAATTTTTGACCTCAGAATTCTGTTTCTTGGATTTATCATATAGGTATAAAATAATATTTATATTGTATCACATATGGGTTGAAATATACAAAGCACTGAATGTTTCCATTCCCTTCCAAATTTATATATCAAATCGTTAATCCCAATGTGATAGAATTTGGAAGTGGGTGTCTGGGAGGTAATTAAATTTTGCGGGTGGAACTCTAATGAATGGAATTAGTGTCCAATAAAAAGAGAAGTCAGAAATCTACATTTGAGGAAGACAATTCCCGTAGTAACCCAACCATGCCTTCCTGCTTCTCTGATCTCTGATGAAATAAATTTCTGTTGTCCAAAAAGTCATGCAGGGTATGGATCTGTCTTATAGCAGCTGGAATGAACAAAGTCATGGTATTCTTGCAGCATTTGTAGTTACTGCCAAAGATTAGAAACAACCTAATATCCATCAATGTGAGATCAGTTAGATAAAGTATGTGTCTATGTACTGAATTTTGTGCAGCCCTTAGAAGGATTATTATCTATGGAATAAGTTTAACTAAAGCAAAGTTGTAAAGTAAATGGAAATTCAGTGGTAGGTTTTGAACTGCAAGTAGATACAGAAATCTGGCTATGCCCACATGAGCAGAAGGCTGAAAAGACAGGAATATTAGAAGGAGGGGGGTCGTCCGTGAAAGAGTGGATGTCCAGATACAGGATAGACTGTGCTTGTACTGAGATGCTTTGACTTTGAGGTCACCTTTTGGAATTTTCATCCACTTTTGCAAGGTGACATATAATGTGTGCTAATTACATTTGTGATGGGAAGTAGTGCTATGTGTTTCCATTTCCAATATCTTGCAGTTAGATAATCCTAATGAGCCTTTTACACACTGACTGCCAATAAGTTACTTGAGTCACTAGACGAACATAGTGTACTCTGAGATGAGAAACTAATTCTGATGTCACAAAGAATAAACTCCAAATGCTTCATAATCAAAATATGAAATTTTCCAGCTGAGTCAATCCAAGTTGGAAACTTAGCGAAGAATAAATTCACCTAACACTTCAGAAGATGATAGAATGCAAGTTTTCCTAAAATATTGATTTTGAAATACTGAATGCCCTCTAATGTAGGACATGCTGAGCTTAAGGTAAATTTTGTATATGGCATGATTCTGGCATTTAGCAGGGGAGCCAAAAATATGTTTGAAATTAAGCAGTCTCTACTGCTCAAAGAGGAATCAATTAAATGTTAAAAGAATGAATAAATAGAAAATAAGCTATAAAAACTAGTTTCTCTTAGAAATTAATTTTGGAATCTACAAAAGTCACCAGTGACCTTGAATTCATGCTCAATTTCTTTGAAATTCCCCCTTGACTGATCCCAAAATATTATTTAAAAGCAAAAGAAATTATGCATGTCTAGGATTAAATTTCTGAGAACCATTACGGTTTCCTTGGTGTTTAACACAGTGGTGAACTCCATTTGTGCTATATAAGTAATTTGTAAATTCCTCCCTGGAACACAAAAAGAAATTTTTTAAAAAAGAGGTGTACACGTTTCTCATTTAATCAATCTTATGATAGTACCATAAAATATTCAGCAAAAGAACACTTCTCTTCACAGCTTTGGTATTTTCCTCAAGTTCTTCTGCCAAGAGATCTTGTGAGTAGTGTCAGTCCCAAGCTGTTTCTGGGATATAAAGCCAGCCAGCTGTTTGGCCCTGTTGTGTACAGCTCAGCTTCCTGACACAGTTTTTCTCCTGCTTTCTTTTTTCCACTGTCCTCCAAAATAAATCATAATATTGGATAGGACATTTCCACTAGCACAGTGCTGTGTAATCTTAAGTTTACTGGATAACTTAGCACACTTCCTGATTTCCTATGGGGTAACAACTGGGGGCTGTCTGTCTTCTAGGAAGATGAAAAGTGCCAGTCCCCAAGACCACCACGGCCTTGCTGCAAGGCCCTGGGAACTCTCCGGCAGTTGAGTGCTTCTGAAATGGTTCCTATTACAGACACGTTGGTGGGTGTCTGCTCATGCTGTCACAGGAATTCACTTCGACGGGAAATATCTGAATACAATTATCAACTGGCTTCCCAGCTTTTAAAATTTTGTCTAGAAAAAATTTTTGCAGACAAATAAAAGGAACAACTCGCAGAATATCCTTCTTTTGGTTATCAGATGTCTACATCAATATTATACTCTGTTTACCTCTATTGTACTTTTTCCTAGGTCAAGCACACTATATATCATGTTTTCCTTGCAGATGGATAGCACTTTTATGCCTCTGTGGTATTTTTACTTTAAAATGAATGTAAAAATATTTTATCAAACACTCTGATTTCTCATATGGAAAATACCCATATTATATGAGTATATCTATTTTCAATGGTGGGAAGTAACAATGTCCCTGTACCCCTCTGATGATACAAGTTTATTAAGGGAATGCACAGCAGGGGAAGGAAAACTGTGGAGACATCATTGTGTCAGAAACTTTGAAAAGAGTAGCACAAGATGACAAAATTAAAATGTAGCATGCTCTCTTAACACGTTTTCAAAATCCCCTTTGTATGGTCAATTTCTAAGAGGTACTAATTAAATTAAATTAATACAAGCATTTGAAACCAACCAGAGGATTTATAACAATAAATCCATATTTGTAGGAGAAGATTAGCTGTGTATTTGTGTGGTCAAATATTTTATATATAAAAGAGTGGCTGAAATATCCGCAAATCTCCTAAATCTAATCATGCTCACACGGTATTACTTCAGAGAGGGAGAGGAAGATTATGAAGGTAACTTTGAAAATGGGCCTAAATAGTTTTATTTTAGACTGTGTAAGAAATCAAGCACAGTATATTTGGAGAAAAGAACCAAGCTGCAGGAAGCCTAGGTTGGTGCAACAACTTGCCACTGTATTTCTATCCCAGGGAAAAGGCTTAGAGTTTGCCCCTGAGTGTGGATGATAAAGAGGCCCCTTTGGGGTACCATTGGGTACTTCTCCCTGTGTGCTGCTTCTCCAGAGCTTCCTCCATTCTCCTTACCGGTACCCTTCACACTGTTACCTACAATGAATCATTTTCACTCCTTGCCATATTTGACCTATCGGTAGCAACTGAAACTTCCGATTATTCCACTGACTTCCAAAGCACATTGCGTTTGTTTGGCTCTTTCCTCTCTGGTTTCCCTTCCTCATGTCTTTCACTACCCCAAGTAAGTGTCCCTTGTCTAACGTTCACTGGACCAGAAGCATTTTAGATTTAGAAATTCTCATGTTTTGAAATATTTAAATACATACAATGAGATGGCTTTGGGATGAGATCCAAGTTTAAATGCAAAATTCACTGCAGTTGATATATACCTTATATCACACAAAGCCAAGAGATACCTTTTCATATTTGCAATATTTGTGTTTGGACTGCAACTCCCTGCATGAGATTAGGGAGATTTCTGCATGGGGTATCATGTGGGGATGCCATGTGACTCCCATTTTGGAGCATATTAGACTTTGGATTTGTGGATTGGAGATGCTCAACCAGCACATTAGCCTTTCCCTAACTTTTTAATTTTACAGCACCAGGAGGCATAGTCTC